TCAGATTGGAACTTCCAAATGATTTGAATTCATGCATGTTTGCGTGTTCATATTGTTCATGAAATTGGTTTGAAATTGAGTTTGAATTAAACACCCTTGGGCCTTGATTTCTCAAAATTGAGCTTTGAACTAGGATATTCTATGTGTTTATAAATGTTTTCCAGAAAATGGGCCCAAGAGGATTGGTTTTGTTGCATTTGAGTGTGAGTTTGAGCTTGGAGGTGCAATCTGGAATTCCCAGATTCTGCACTTCCGCTCGAGCGGGGGAAGTGCTGCTCGAGCATGAAATCCGAGCATCCAGCATCTCTCTGCACCGTTTTACAGTCCGCTCGAGCGGAGGATTGGGCGCTCGAGCGGAGTTATGTCTCAAGCTCGAGCGGGCGTCGAGCGGAGATTTCACCCATCCAGTACTTTTACAGTACGCTCGAGCGGGAAAGTTGACGCTCGAGCGTGTACCTTTGTTGCATGACCGCTCGAGCGGGGACACCTGCGCTCGAGCGGGACTCTGTTTTTCTGCTAAAATCTGAAAATGCTTTTAAAAGTGCATCTTTGCATCCTCATCCCATTCTAGGCATTCTTAGACCTAGTTTAAGGCATCTTATTGAGGATATAGATGTAGAACACACCGAGGCGTTAGGGGTTAAGTTATTATCTTTCCCAGCTGTGTAGCTTAGTGTGTGTTCAATCTGTTAACTGTGTAGGGTTGGCGACTGGGGAGAGGCGCTCTAGCATACTGTAGCCCAAACTCTGTGAGTAACGATTGTGTAAAGATATGTTCAAATGATTATCTTCTGAATACTGAACTGAACTGTTTACTGAACTGATATTGTTTACTGAATGAATGTATGTCCTATATTCTAAGCTGTACTGTGGCATCCTTGGCATCTAATGTTACTGTTATTGTTACTGTTACAGAGATCTCTGTCAGTTCCCTCGTGGAACCACTACTGTTTACTGATTGATGGCCATCATTACTGCTCGGTCTTTAAGACCTACTGTTTACTGCTATGCTAATGGATGTACCACATATGACTGTTTACTGTACTGAACAACTGAAAGACTGATTGAAATGAACTGTTTTCATACTGTAAGGACATTCATTCTTAACCTCTTTACGCACTATGTTATTCACTAGGCTTTAGCTCACTGTTTATATATATATGTAGGTGCTCAGCCGCCAGATCGGAGCTAGGAGCGTGGGTTAGACTCCAGTTTTGTCAAGCCAGCCTTTGTGCCTCACTGCGAGGTTCCGAGTTGCCATGCTATGGCCTTGGGGTGTCTTGTTTTCCCCCATCTGTCTCCGTACTGTTTGGTTTACTGTATAGACTGTTAGCTAACTGTACTGTTATCAAGGGATTAGGTCCCTGTACTGTGTGACTGTAAATTTTGTATAGACCGTGCTGTTTGTATATGTGAATGTGAATGCATGAAAAATCTTTTCGGCATACAGACTGTCACAGCTCAATGGACATTATTCATTACTGTATTGGCTTCCGCCAGGCCCTGTACTCTGTTTTACTATACTACTGTTCTGCAGGCCTTCGGTAATCTCGGATTACTGGCCGGTTACGGTGCTAAACCCATAGGGCCGGGTTTGGGTCGTGACACTCGGGCCCGGATTTGAAAGGGTATTGAGCAAGCCTAGAGATCCGAGGCACTCGGACTTGAAAGGATTTGGACCCACGAATCTAGAGATCCGAAGCACTTGGCTTCGAACGGATTCAGACGCAATCTAGAAGCCGCTCCATTAATGAGTCCCAGAACACTTGCGGACTCGAAACTTTCCGGGATCTACGTACCAGAACCATGGGCGTAATGGAGTCCGAACAAAGGACCCAATCCCGAAGACAGTGAGTGGAGATAAATTCACTCTTCGGTTAAACTAGCCTATACCCGGGTCGAGGTGGCACGATCTAGGAGGTCCTTGAGACTCGGCAATATTTGCGGCAGGACGTCCTCTGGGACTACCCTTGACCCTTTGGGATGATTGGGAATCATTGGTTAGGTGTGGCCAAGAAGAAGGGTTCGCCGAGAGGTTGATCTCTTCTTCAGGGTTTTCCTCATCCTCGGAGAGGTTACCTCCTCGGACAAGGTGGTTAGAGAGAATATTCCTCATGTGCCTTGCACATGGGCTCCATCCTACATCATGAGGTGCCTATAAATAGCACCCACACACAGCTTTACAAGGGGATGGATTTTGGACAGTTAACTCTTGGGAAAGAACTAATTTTCCTTCTCCATTATCAACCTTGAGAGTGAAAGTGAGAGATCCATAGGAGAGCATTGCCATTATTCTCTCTCTAGCTACTTTGCCTTATTCTTCACCCAATCTCTTATCTTCATCATCTTCTTTACTCTTGTGTTCTTAAGTTGAGACTATTGAAGAATCTAAACCTCTCATCATCTTCTAGAGAATTCGTAGTTGTTCTTCAAGGATCTTCGAAGATTTTCGAATTTTCCAACGACGTTCTTGAACCCTCTCCTACACAACATATTCAATAAACAAAAATTAATTCAATACATATCCAATACATTTTAATTGAATAAGGTTTTCCTAATTTTGTTTTTTTTTTTTTTTTTTTTGAATACATTTTGATATCTATTTTGGTATCAATCGACAGTAATGATACCAAACAAGATAATTTTGTGTGTGTGTGTGTAAATATAGCCCTTTGTTTTTATTTCGCTTTAGGCTCCGAAAACTCAGGCCATCCCTGTAATAGTTAATACGTTGTGTGCACAATAACCATGATGCATAGACAACTCAACCAACATACATATTACACTCTCAAACTTTCAGCGATAAGAATGCAAGTCTTACTAAATAGAAAGAGTTACAAACTCTTGAAATATGCATATTAATACAAGTAACTACCATCTATAATAAATTAAATAAATTTTATATAAAATATTTAATATTAAAGTTACTTGTGTAATATGCACCAATATAATGTATTCAATTTTATCGTATTCGTCACCAAAAACACAAAAAAACACAAAAAAAAATGAATTATTTATTTTTAAAAACATATTTATCGTTTATTTTTTTAAACATAAATTAAATAGATCATAATTATCAAATTGATTTAATTATTTTCAAATATTATTTAAATTATCAAAACAGTAACTACTCTTAATTAAAATTATTCAATAGTATCTGAAGTAAGCTCGACCAGGAGGTGTTTGGTGTAGCTGTTAAAATAAATTATAAATTATACCTTAACAGATTATAGATTATAATTTTAATTAGAAGTTATTAATTTGTTTGGTGTAACTGCTGGATTATAGATTTAAGTTACCGAATAGTGTTTGGTAAATAATCTGTGAAATAGCTTTTGATGTGTAAATGCCATTTTTTATCCCTATTAATTGTAAATTGAATTAATCTTTGTTAGTTGTAAATTGAATTAACTTTTATTTTTTGTTATTCACTATTAGTCTACATTTTTCATAAAAAAATTAATTTAAAAAATATATATCTAAGAGTATAATCGTAAATTAACATGGCTATATCAGAAGTTGATAATCAGAAGTAGGTGATGCATAATTTCTCAGAATCAACTTTTTTAAATTCAAATAAATTAGTAGAATAAAAAATTATTTAAAATAAGTTTAGCCAAACAAATCAAAATAATTTTTTTAAAATTAAAATTTATAAATAGACCAAAATAAGGCCTAGTTTGGGAAGACTAAATAAGTGCACTTTTTGACTTTTTATGAATTTAAAAAATATATATCTAAGAGTATAATCGTAAATTAACATGGCTATATCAGAAGTTGATAATCAGAAGTAGGTGATGCATAATTTCTCAGAATCAACTTTTTTAAATTCAAATAAATTAGTAAAATAAAAAATTATTTAAAATAAGTTTAGCCAAACAAATCAAAATAATTTTTTTAAAATTAAAATTTATAAATAGACCAAAATAAGTCACACCAACATTCCAAATATTTAAAAAGCTAACAGTAAATGGGATTCCACGGATATTCCCACACAAACAAACAAATAAAGGACTCAACCTTGTTTTCCACGACCACAAAAAGGTATGCATCCTTTCTAGATCAACACCTTTTTGTTTTTGTTTTTATTTTTGTTTTTGTTTTTGATTATCCACACTTCTTCCCATTCTAATTAGGCCAAATTACAAAGAGTAAAGAATTTACAATTCGATGGAGCATCTTTTTAGAATTGTTGTATAAATTGTACACTAATTACAATATGGGACTTTCGATTTGCACATTTCTTCTTCTTTCAGTTTATACTATTTTTTTATTTTATTTTTTAATTATAATTGTGTCTGTTAAGTAAATTATTCTTTTTCAAAAAGAATATAATTATTCTTTTGAATAAAATTTTAAAACTTACTTTCTCGGTGTACATCTCCCCACTACTCTCCCACCTATTCTTCATCTTTATCTGCTCTACGTCTATGTCACCGTACAACTTAGCTACCTTAAGTACTAGCCAACCACCCAAATTGCTCTTTATTGTGAGTTTTAAACATTTTCCTATTGTGAGCCCATAACCCCTCTCACTTCTTTGGATCCCCATCCATCTAAATTACTTCTTGCCTTTGTTATTTTGAACCCTTACCTTAATCCCAATTATACCATCATTCATAGCAATTTGAAGCCCTAATTATTACCACCTTTAGCTACCACTTTAACCACCTCCAATAATCCTTCCACCCATCCCTGCACATTGGTTGTGTCCTCATCTCCTTTATCATCGTTGTCCTAATCATCATCATCATCATCACCTTCGAACCTACTCTAGACTAAATCTAAGAGGAAGGGGAATCAACCCCCCTCCCCCAATGATAAATAGTAAATTGGGCTTGTGAATCAATTATGGAGCGATACTTATCGAGAGTCGATCAATATAAATGTAATTTTCATTCTAACTGGCATATCAAAATGTATCAATATTGAAATAACAAAATTTTAATACATATCAACCAATATTTAAAATTATACATACAAAACCCCTTATGTACACATGAAGAACGAAACGTAATAGATTTCATACGAAATTGAAGCTCTAATACTTTTAAAATCGACAATTGTCGTATAACTTAATTGAGTTGATACGAGATAAACAGCACAACAAATGTATGTTTCACAAAAATGAATACCCAAAAAAACAAATACAAACTAAATTGCTAGCGCATACACAACAAATTCAAACCCAACACAAGTAACAAAGATGGTCCTAATTGGAGTTGACAAACATGAAGTCCTTGATAACTTGAAGGACTCTATTAGCCACATCCGAGTAGGGTTCATTTGTGAAGAAACCATGTTGCTTTCCTTCAAATTCCACATAATCAATCTTCTTTCCCATCTCTTTTAACCTTCTTGCATAGTCTTCCACTCTATCTTTCATCAGTTCACTGCCTCCTACAATCACCAAAATAGGGTCAAGCGTCATTGGTTCAAGATCTAGGCTAGCTGGCCCAAATGGGTTGGCAAGTGGATGGTCTGCAGTGTCTCCAACCGGTATCGATAGCCTCCAAAACCTATTGGGAGTCATTAGCAACACAAGGAGTGTAGTTTTAAGAGGGACCAAAAAGATACAATAAATAGGAATGGTGCGTATACAGACAAAAACAGCATAATGTGTTCAGAAAAATCAATATACGGTATATATTCATTATTGTAAGAAAATACCATATTTAACCGTATTTTATACATCATGGTTGTTTAGGAAAAGAAATGCAGAGTAGTTTAGTATTCTCGAATGCAAGTTAACCTATAGATCAAAAACTAGTTGAGGCTAATTTTATAGTTTCACAGTTCAGCTCACTAAAAATTAGTCAAGCTCAAGTCCAACTCAAAGAATTGAGCTCGAACATGGCTCGTTTAGTATTTGAGATACTCAAGCCTAAGCTTTTAGCTCGGCTTGTTTAGTACTTGAGAAACTCAAACTCAACTTGAGCCAACTCGATTGCATACATGAATCAAGCTTGAGAGCTTGAAAAGTAAAATAAAACCAAAATTAACATGCATATTAAAAGAATTATGAACAAAATAAAAATAAATAAAAAATGTTCATATTATTAATAAAGGTTCACCATTTAAAGATATTAATTTGTACAAACACCAAACTATGACACAAATTAGCTATTTAAAACACCTAATCCAAAAAATAAATAAAAAATTGATGAGTATAATCATTTTGGAGAGAAAGTAAAATACAATAACAAATAGATGAACCCAATCACATTTCAGTGGTTGATTAACAAAAATTCAAAAGCTAGTTCATAGTGCTTTTCTTAATCCATTGCAAGTATTTTGTGATTAGATAAAGATATGATCATATTATAGTTGGATAAGCCACTAACTTCTTGTAGTTGCATAATATCAAATTAAATATGATTAGAAAACATTGAATAATCATAACAAATTTAGATGTATAAAAATTGAGATTGATTATGGGCCTACCAAATCTCGTGAAAAGTGGATTTGATGATTCTCCTACTTTTCTTTTCTTTGAAAAATTGTGAAAAATGACTTAATAAAATAATAATTTTATTATCATATTTCAATCATGACTAAAAAGATGATGTGACCAATAATTCAATGTGAACTTATTAACTATAAGAAAAAACATTCAAAACGTTTTTAGCACTTAGTATAATTTTTTTAAATTTATTTTTAATTAATAAATCAACTTTTTAGTTAAAAATGGCAAAATTTATATGTAATAATGTGGCAGTATTTAGATTTATAATCTTAAAATAAAATATCATTTTAAATAATATTTAATTATAAAAATATTATTAAAATATCACATGTGACAATTTTTATTTATAAATTATGTATATTTGTATAACCTTTTTTTCTTTTTACGTGGTTGTACCACTACCTCATGTAAAATAATTCAAGTCGCAGACATTTTCTTATTCTTTTGGGATTAATTCTTTTGGGATTTAGTTTTTTTTTTTTTTAAAATTTATTGGACAGTTTTTTTTTTAGTAAATATTTATAAATTTAAGTTAAAATTTTTACTTATTAAATTTGTCTAGATTAGGTGACCCTAAATTTAAAAATTAAAAAAAAAAAAGAAGTTTACTATTGAAGAAAAGAAACCAATTACTTTAAGAAAATATGATATGCTAAATTTTTACCTCAATCTTGCAATTATTAGAAATAAATAGCCATATAAAAATTTATGGGTATCGCACAATCTTTATCATGAATATGTGCATGCAAAACATATGTTTCATAAATTCAAGCTTATTAGCAAGAAGCTTTTTGGTTATAGTTATTACAAAGGGTAAGCTCAATAGGCCATTTAACCATCTCTTTTGATGGGTTGTTTCAAAAGAGTAGACTCTCAAAAAAAAAAAAAAAAAATGGTAGAGACAAATTTTGGGATGAAATAACTTAGTTGTCAAAAGAAGTGTTGTATTTTTAGCGATGAAATTGAATATTTATTAATGAATTACTGCGCTTTTAATTTTGTCTCTAAAAGTGCATTCATTAACAGCATTTTTAAAATTTTGTAATTAAGGGTAATTTTTTTTGACTTTTCAGATCAAATATTTCATGACAACTCTCACATGGCGAATGGAATTAGTCTTATGCTTTTTCTAACAAAATTTACTTTTGAGAACAAAAAGAAATTCTTAAAATTCTTATGTGTTCTAGTGAAGAGAGAAAGGAAAGGGAGATTTCTAAGAGTGCAAGTGGCTTGAACGATCTGAATGAATTTTAGTCGAAGGAATCTGAATGTGTTTTGATGATTGTGAAGTGTAGAGATAATTAGTGGTGGTGGCTCACTTTGATTTTAACTCATATGAAATCACTGGACCTGAAAGGTGAGAGATTGTTGCATGACAAGTTGATTTTGAGTATATTCCAGAAAATAAAAATCTTTCCACAACCACAAAAGAGGCAGAGCAGTATTACAGATAGATACATTTTGTTTTGATACTGAGCTTGTCCCAATTCCTCCATGACTTTCTGGTCCCTTTCTTTTTAGTTGGGTCACTTCACCTTCTTTGAGAGAAGAATTTGTACCCAATATAGCATGTGTTAGTTAATTAAAATGTTCCTAGTTTTGTTCATTTGTATTATTATTTAAATATTTTATTTTTGGGTAAATTGTATTTTTTTAGTTTTGTAATCTGATCTAATTAAATTTCAATTTAGTCCTTATTGTTTCAAATTGAATAATTTGGTCATTAGTTTCAATTCAATTATTCCGTTTAAGTTAAAAGTTAAAATTAATGATTTTGGGATATTTATCAATCTCTTAATGTAGACACATAAACATAAAAATAAAAAAAAAATAGGGTAAATTGCAAAAACGCTCCCTAAGATTTCCTTAAATACGATTTGTCCCTCATGGTTCTAAAAATTACATCCCGCCTCTTGAAATTTTTAATTTTATAACAAATGGCTCATTTTATTAATAAATGGTTAAGTCAATTAACAATTTTTAATTATGTCAAAAATTTATTTCAATTAATAATTTAGATAATTTTATCATTGTATAAAAGGGCAGTTATGAATTTTATTTTTTCAATTAATTATGTTAAATATAAAATTTTAACAATGAAATATTTGTAATTTTTCAAATTACAGAAGATAATTTGTATTTTAAACAAATTTTAATGCGTGTATTTGAAATTTATCCAAAAAAGTATCATAAATGTAGGCAAAATGACTAGACTTAAAGCCTAGAAACCAAATTAATCAACTTGAAACAATAAAAATTAGTGAAATTCATATTAAAGTATAGGTTTAAGAAATGCAATTTACAGTTTATGTTTCATTTATTAAGATTTTCTCCAAATGATTAATAGCTAGATCCTAATGGAAAGATTATATTCACTTTATAATTATAGAAAAAAATAGTATAATTTTATATTTTTTGAGTGACAACTAAAAAAAAAAAAAAAGATTCTTAACCAAACACAAATGAGTCAAATCTAAGATCTCAAAATAATATTATAACTAAAGAAAAAAAAAATAAAATAATCATAACTAAAAAAAAATAACGTAATTAAAAGTAAATACGTGTAATAGAATTCTCCATATCCTAATTAATTTGGATTGTTTCGTGATTGTTAGACATTATTGCATCTCTTGGGACTAATTTCAATCCCGAATCAACTAAAGTGCCATCATTTTATTGAACAATCGTAGACTTTGCTTTATCACAGTCTAATAACAATATGAAACTATATGACTTTTTCGACACAACATTCGGCCTATCAATGATTTTGGTTATGACATGTCCATTTCATTATTTTTATTGGTGTATATTGATGTGTTACCATCACTATAAAGATGAACAGAAAGGGGTCCAAGATTGCTCAGGATCTTTTGGAAGCTCTGTGGCCTCTAAAAATTCTTTTCATTTTATGCTTCTTTTTGTTTTTGGTCATTTCATAAGGAAAACTTGGTAGAAATACAATTATATACTACTTATTTGGAAATGCTTAGATTCATTAAAAAAATAAAAATTTATAAATAAAAATTTATTTAGTGTTTATTTTTGTTTCTATAAATTATAGACGATTTTTAAAATTTACTAAATTTTTAAAACAAAGCAAAATTAGTTTCATTTGTTTAGAAAATAAATTTTCATTCATTCATTTATCTCTCCCACATCCTACCAACCACCACACATTGCTCACCACTACCAAACATCACGTCTGGCCACTGTCAACATCGATCTCCCTAACTACCATTTCCCACACTTGGAAACCACCTTGGATCGGCCAAAGCACCTTAGCCATCAATTTCGACGATTACTTTCGACCACCACTTTCCGTTAGTAATTACTTCTAAACACTCCCTTTCATTTGTTTTTTAAACTAAATTTTAAAATATGTGTACCAAACATGTTTAATACACATTGGCGTCACCCCTCACAAATCATAATACAATAGCTTAAGCAAATAATCAAAACGATTAATTATATTAAAAATCCCTTAACGATTAGCGAATATCTCTTTTTTTTCTTTATCTATTAACTCTTATATATCAACTATAAAAAATAGTATATATACACTTCTTTTAGAGATAGTTTGTATGGAGTAAAGATAATATAATTTTATAATTGAGAAAGTCAAAATATATAAATTCATAAATGAAAAACGAAGAATAATATTGACTAATAATTAAGGAAGTCTTAATGCAAACAACTCTAAACAAAAATATCTATGAGAGCCCCATTAAATGGTATTGATTTTTTTTCCTCTTTTCTAAAATTTTCTCCACTGTTGCTTACATGCCAACAGACGCATGCACTATCATGTAATAAGTACATACATGAATTTCATATCTAAAATTCTGATTAGCTTAGATTCTTGCTATAAAAATTTAATTTCTACTGCATTTCATTAGCACAAAGGACAAATTGACTTTTCTTTGTGCATTCAAATATATATACCGATTTAGATATAGATATATATCATCCTTTTTTTAGGTAATAATAAATTTATCTTACTATCACAATAAAGAAGAAAAAAAAGGATTAAAAGTTCTTTTTTATTTTTTATTATCCAATATAATGTTTGGGTTCAAATTTTATTGATCGCGACACCACTAATCAATAAAATACTGTAAATAATATTAAATGAACATCTCTTATTTTGTAAAATATAATTTCTCATCAATTAATAATAATAATTTTTTTTTTTTATTATTGTTAGTATTAACTGTCATGTGGTAATTATCCACACCTAAACATGTCACATCTTTTTTTTTTTTAAGTTGTGTTTAATAACTTTTTTTTAAAAAAATTTGTTAAAAAAAAATTATTTTTTCAATCCATCTTGTGTAAAAGTTCTTTTTTCTTTTTTATTATCCAATATAATGTTTGGGTTCAAATTTTATTGATCGCGACACCACTAATCAATAAAATACTGTAAATAATATTAAATGAACATCTCTTATTTTGTAAAATATAATTTCAATGTATAATTTCTCATCAATTAATAATAATAATTTTATTATTATTATAAGTAGTATTAACTGTCATGTGGTAATTATCCACACCTAAACATGTCACATCTTTTTCTTTTTTTAAAAAAATTTGTGTTTAATAACTTTTTTTTAAAAAAAAATTTCAAAAAAATTTATTTTTTCAATCCATCTTGTGTAAACAAATCTAATTTTTTTTTTTTATAAAAAAAAGTCAAAAAAATCCCCTATTTATAGTTTATTTTTGTCTTTTTTGAATTTTTAAAAAAAATTTAAAACTTTTCAGTTCAGCTCGTTGAGCTGAATTTAAACGCTTAAAGTTTTTTAAAAAAATTAATAAAGTGAAAATAAATTTTTTTAAAAAAATATACCAAATAAGCAAACTCCAAATACCCACTTATTTATCAGTAAATTGGATATGAAAAAAAACATTATTCAGATTTGATTATTATATTATAAGATTCAAACTTTAATTAAATCTAAACAACACATATTTTTTTTAAAAGGAAATGGAATATAAGTCTACTTTCTAGATTCAATGATGTGTAAGCGAAATGATTAATTGATAATTAGAGAAGATATAAAAGATAAAGTTGCCTTAGCCTTTGTTTGGAAAGAACTTTTTTAGTCTAGCTTTTTGGCTATTTTAGCTTGACAAAGTTCTGTTTAGAAAGAATTTTTGGCTTGTTTTTTTTTTTAAATTTTGTGAGAAAAAAATTAAAATGAACATGATTTGAATGTGAAATTTTGTCTTATTAATTTTTTAATTTTCTCTATCTTTTAATGAGTAAAATCAGCCTTTAACTTACTTATCAAACGAAAACCTTAAATATTTTAATTGATTATAACACGATTGAATTTAAAAAATAAATCTAATTTTTTAGGTAGAATGTTTTAAAAATATTTTTGTGTATTAGGATTTTTGATCCATACAAACATACATAAATACCTGTCAAGGACGTCCAAGTTGAGCAAGAGTTCAGGCGGTCCCTCAGCCTCCGACTTGGTCCTCACAGTCCCTCCGAAAAACGGCGCCATCAACACAAACCCTCTCACCTTCACCGGCTCCCTCTCCGGCGAACCTTTCCCTAACCTCACCGCCAAATGGTGCGCAATGTTCCCACCAGACGAGTCACCCAATACAAAAACCCTCCCAAAATCAACTCCACTACCGAACCAAGTATCAGGATTTTCCGACACAGCTTGTTCTCTGATCCAATCCACAGCGGTGAGTGTATCGTCGATGGCGGCGGGAAGGCGGTGTTCCGGCGCAAGACGGTAGTCCGGCGCCACCACGAGGGCTTGGAGGCTGGAAGCGAGGCGGAGGCAGCAGTTGTGGCAGTTGGGCCATGTTCGGGAGCCGACGCAGAAACCGCCGCCGTGGATGAAGATGATGATTGGGAGGTTGGTGGTGGTGGTGGTGGTGGTGGTGGAGGTGGAAGTGGGTTTGTAGAGGCGGAGATGGAGGTTGTGGGTTTTGTCGAAGAGAGAGTCTTTCCAGAGAACAGAGTCGTCGTGGTGGATGGGCATGTTGAGGTGTAGGTTTATGTCGTTTGATCGGAAAATGGTGCCGTCGCTGTAGACCTGGAGGACGCCGCTGCAGTCCTCTACTATGTGAGGAAGGGAACCCATCTCTCTCTCTCTCTCTATGTGATGAGTTTGTTGGATTAGGAGATGGTTAACTAGGAAACAGAGGAGATATATATAGCGCAGGGGGATGGGGGTGACAACAGTTACATTGCTATACATCATGGGCATTTCCGTAATTCTATGTAGAAACTTTATTTTAATTTCTTTTCTCCTTTTTGGGATATATATAAGTTCCCATTTTAGATCTATAAATGTGCAACTGAGATGATTGGGTCTAGCCTCCTTTCATATTTTATTTTTTAGACTCCATTCTAAACTTACAATCATAATTTAAGCTGCTCATTTTGTAAATCTTACAATGAAGACTATCTAATTAAAAATCAAATTTATCAGATATCGATGAATATATAAACAAATCACTTTGTGTTTCATAGAATGAAAGGTTTAAATTTAAACTCACAATTACTGTTCATTTTAAAAAACATGCAATTTATTCCTATATCTAGTGATATCCGATGAAACTAATTTTTTACATAACTTTTCTAAATTGTTAGGATTACGAGATGAACGTTTCATATTATTAATGTGGGCCTAAAATTGAACCCAACAAATAAAATATGAAGGAGTATGGAGGATAAGAATATGGAGGAGAACCATTCCCTAGGTTTTTTTATTATTATTTTTATTTTTTTTAAGATATAGTAGCCATTTCCTTGGTTGATAATTAAATAATACATGAGAGAGAAATAATACATGAGCATGATTTGGTTGATTGATCATTAAGCTTGAAAAATGGGTTTATTTTTTTGTTTTTGAATAGCATTACTCAATATATTTATATTATTATATTAATTAAAGGCTAGACTCGATGTCCACTATTTTCCTTACTTCTCTTTATACCACGTGTCTCTCATTTTTTTATTTAAATAAATATATATATATATATATATATAGATAAATGAGAAGAGTGTAACTCAAATTTTGGACTTTAGATTTGCTAAAAAAGATTTTTCCCACTTGAGTGAGAGTGGCACACAATACATAGTAAATATTTTATTTTATTTTTAGTTATTTGTATTATACACGCATCGCGTGTGTCAATCACTAGTGTGTGTATATATATATGCATGAGTATGCTAATCTATGTAGCACTTGTATCCTTTAAAACTTTTGGGAAGTGTATTTGAATCTTTTATTTATTTTGAGAATCTTTGATGTTATTGTATCTTGGTTTTGGAGGAGTACAAATCGATTTAAACTTGTTTGAATTGTTCGTTCATGCTTGTTTACATTAAAAAGTTGTTTGGAAACTTAGAAATCTTGTTCTAGAATTGGTATTAGTCTTGGTGGTGTCGACACTTGCCTTTTGTTGTTGGCCTCAAGGGTCGACACCGGTCTGGGAATGGTCGACTCTTGTCTATTGCTGAGAATTTGGAATTGGCTGCTGAAATTTAGTGTCAACACCAGTCAGGGAGGTGTTGACACCTTGCCTGCTGCACACATTAGTGTCTTACTTTTCTTCCTGAATGGTCAACACCTCTATCTAAAGAGTCGACCCCTACGTGTAATTTTTAGATTTTTTAGTCGGTTTGGGCCTTACTTTTGGAGGGTTTTGATTTGTTATTTTCATTTAACTTTGGGCTATTGTTCTATTAGTGCCTAACTACTATAAATAAGTTCCAAAACACTTTCATCTCATTATTTTTCCTTCTCTTTTCCACTCAAACCGTGACTTTTCTCTTTTCTCTCTAAACTTAACTTTTTCACGCTTAGATCTTCTGACCTAAAGCCATCTTTTCACCTTGGTCATTTGGGAAAGGCTGTAGATCTTGTTAAAGGCTTTCTATTGATCCGAGTAATTCACGATTTTGTCACCGTTGATTTTTGGGTTGTCTTCTCTTTACTTCAAGAGATAGGGATTTCTTACTCCTCTTCACTACTTCGTCTACAGATAGTTATGTGGTAGATTTTTATTGCATAAAAGCCATGTATATTGGAGTTCTTTTTGAGAAATCATATGAGAGATATTTAGGGTTTGTTACTTGGAGATTGGAAATCATTACAAAAATTGCTTGGGTTCTTTGGAGAGTAGTTTAGCATGTTGATGTTGAGAGAGAGAAAAATAACTAATTTAATATTATAGACTTAATGGATTAATGATGAGAGAAAGTTGTGTAATATTTTGTGCTTGATTATATGGATTGTGTAATTAATTGATAAAAGGGTGGATTAACCATGGTATTGGAATTATTCTTGATTAATCATGTTAAATTGAGTTGAGTTATGGCTTTGACATTCATGAATTTTATTTTTCTAAAACAAAGGAAATGGATTTTGGTTTTGCAAAACAAGGAGAATGGATTTAGTTTTGTAAATTAAAGAGGATGGATTTTGGATAAAGATTTGAACATGTTAACTTGGAAAACAAAAGAGTTGATTTTCATAAGAGAAAGAAAACATGACATATTATAAGTCTAAAATTGATGCTTAGGGATGGATTTTTAAAGCTTTTGAATATCGTTATTATCATTGTTGTTGGGACTTAAGGTCAAATGAACATTAGATTATTGTATTATGTGTGTTTAAATATTTATACTTAGAGGTTTTGTCCTTGATCATCGATGGAGGATGATGTTGTGATATTGAATAGATTATGTGTATATAGTACATTCGAGTTATTTATATTTGTTGAATTTTGTGATGGTTGGAAATGTGCTTATGCTTCGAATTAGAGGTACCATTACCTTCTAGTTAGCATTTGGAGAATTGGCTGCGCTTAGAGTGAAAGATACCAGTAAATTCCAACTAGCGCCTGGAGAACTTGGCAAAGGTACCATTACCTTCTAGTCGGTGCCTGGTACATTGGTAGAGGTACCATTACCTTCCAACTTGTGTATAGTAAATTGGCATTTCATTATGGAAATGTATATCATTGGCTTACCATGTTTAAGGCAGGTAGAGCAGAACTTATTTATCATTATTGTCTCAGTGTATCTGTGTATATTATGGGTTATGATGGTTATGGTTCAGGAAGGTTGAGTTGTCTCATTTGTTGAGTAGATAGTTGTTGGTTGCTTGTTGTTTTCCTTTCGTATTAGATGTATATATGTATAGATATGAATGTCTTGGAAACGGGCATAGGTACTGTATTGAGATTGTGAATAATGTGAAGGACATTGAATACTTGTGAACATGTTTCAAAAAGGCAAACCAGGTGTAAGTTTAAAAAGTGGGAGAAAAAGTAATGGGCTTTGTGAAATTGTTTTCAGGAATTTGTTAATGTCATATGAATTTTGGTAAAACGTAACAAGAAGAAAGAAAAGTGAATTGCTTATGTTGTTGAATGAAATGAATGATTTTGAAAAAGTTCTTATATAAGTATATTTATGTATAAACCGTTACATTATGCATAGGATATGATATAAAACATTCATGATCATAGCTATTTGTATGTTGTTATTGTTTATGATCATATTGGGATCCGTACTGGACTTTATGTTTATCCCACGTTGCTAATGCTTTTTCAAGTGAACGTTGAGAAGTGTTTCAAGGTCGAGAATCTTCTTTATGTGTTGGCCATGGGGCCTTTTATTTGTGGGCGGAATGCCATTGATGTAAAAGTGTTAAATCTTTTCTTTTTTTTTTTTAAATTTTAAAAGATGTAAGTCTACGAGTAATTTATTTATTTTTAACTTATGTTGCATTCACTTCACATTCGAATGAGAGAACCTTTAATAATAATACTCGTTGTTATATTAAATTTCTGCGCATAATCTCTAAAATTGTGTTATAATAAAGGATTTGGTAATGGTATCCATTGGCATAAAAAGTGAGGCGTGACACTCTAGTCCAAAAGGTAGAGTTTTATTAATATTTTAAAATCAAATAATTATTAAAAGGGTTTAAATAATTTAAGACAAAAATAAATAAATTAATAATTTATATATATTAGGTTAATGGGCGGGCTTAGGATTTAGATATTATTTCAAGGTCGGGCTTGAGATGGCTAGATTAGGCTCGATGTCGAGCCGGGATCATACTTGAAATGACACACATACTCTTACTATTTATAGTGTTGCTTGGCCCGAACCCGAACCCGAACCCGACCTAGCTCGATATTTGTCTACCCCTACATAAAAATAATGATATTTGAACACATATTTTTAATAAATATTTTAGTAAAATTTTTTTGATGCATCTAGCATTGCTCCCTAATAGATTGCCCAAGATCTATACGAATAAACTTTCTAATAAATTGCACGAGATCTATTGGGATAAACCTACTCATTCATTAGAAATGATCTTTATAGATTTACATGGACTATTAAACCTACTAAGAACAAAATTCATTTTACCCCTTTATCATATGACTCAATAGTACTTCACTTCAATTCTTTTAAAAATAGCCACATACTTCTTATATGAATTTGGACTATAATACTAATGTTGTATTTTTCATCTAAACTAACAAAAAATGTGTCTCACATGCCTATTTCAAGAGTGGGAAAGAAAAAAGATTATTCAGAGTAAAACTCTACCTTAAAACTCTAACCAACCTCACCCCTTCTCTCCACACATTGTATATATAAAATTATATAGACACCATAATTTATTATCATAAAGCTACCTTTATCTAATTTTTAATTTTTAATTTTAACCCAATTTTTTTATTTAATAACATTTTAAAATTAAACATACATATTATATATATAACAAATTAACTCATAAATTAACTTAAATAGCTTAATTTATTATTATAAAAATTAATCATCAAACTACTTTAATTTAATTTTTAATTTTTAACCCAATCTTTTATTTAATAAAATTTTAAAATAAACATAAACATATATATAACAAATTAAACCATAAATAAAACTAAACACCCTAATTTATTACCATAAAATTACCTTATTTAATAACATTTTAAATTAAACAAAGAGTTGATAGCACCTAATAGGAGTTGAACTAGACCTGGATGAAGCATACCCCTAAGCACCCATTGCCTATATATATCCCCAGGATATATATATATATATATATACATGTATATCATAATAT